AACAATGGTGAAAACAAATATTTAGAAAAACCATCAAATACCAACAATGGTGAAAAGAAAAACCATCAATATTTAGATAACAGTATTAACAAAAACCTTCAAAACCTTTAATGTCTTCAAATACCAACAATGGTGAAAAGAAAAAAAAAACAAGAAAACCATATTAAAACTTCACATACCTTAACAATGGTGGAAATGCAATGCAGACGGATGGATGCACTCGAAAACGGACGGTGAACGGACGGCGGGCGACGGTCGGGCAGCGGATGACGGCAACAGAAAGTTTTAATAGGGCAAGTTCGTTCGCCAGAGGAGAAAGACAGAAGAAAAGAAATGTACGCGACTGTTCTGTTTCTCTTAAAATTCTGGAGGGTATTTTAAAATTATAATACTAATACCTATAGCAGCGCTTTTAAAGGCCTTTAGCAGTGCTTTTAAAAGCGCTTTCTTAGGGTGTCTTAGCAATGCCATATAGCAGCACTTTATAGAAAAAGCGATGCTAAAGGTCCCCCTTTAGCAGCGCTTTTTAAAAGCGCTTTCTTAGGTCCCCCTTTAGTAGCGCTTTTAAATGCCTTTAGCAGCGCTTTTAAAAGCGCTTTCTTAGGTCCCCCTTTAGCAGCGCTTTTAAATGCCTTTAGCAGCGCTTTTAAAAGCGCTTTCTTAGGGTGTCTTAGCAATGCCATATAGCAGCGCTTTATAGAATAAGCGCTGCTAAAGGGGACACCTTTAGCAGCTCTTTTTAAAAGCGCTTTCTTAGGTCCCCCTTTAGCAGCGCTTTTTAAAAGCGCTTTCTTAGGCCACCCCTTTAGCAGCGCTTTTTAAAAAGCGCTTTCTTAGGGCCCCCCTTTAGCAGCGCTTTTTCAAAAGCGCTGTCTTAGGTGGGAAATTTTTTTTCTTTTTTTTTTACCCACCCTTTAGCAGCGCTTTTTTAAGAAGCGCTGCTAAAGGGTGCGCTGCTAAAACTCATTTCTGGCGTAGTGCATGCATATGCCCTACGTTCCTTACCTCTTACTCCTACTTGGTTAACTCCCATATTTCAATAATGAGATTCCTTCTACCTTGTCGGGTCCTTGTGGTGGCTTATCCCTAATTCTTCCTACCATACATGTAGATATCAAGTTGATCAAGGATTAAGGTCGACAACACACACATATGATAAAAAAAATTACATTATTGACATTTCATGGCTGGGTCAAGGATCAACCAACTTTTATACCAATTGTAACACCTTAAGTAATATGTGTCTAAATCATACAACTCGACATATCCTTTAAGGCACTGAAACATAATATAACAATATACGAAATAAATATTTACAAGCATGACCTCGGGTCATAAACGTTAATCAAGTCCCTCCTAATCATGGTAACAATTCTCGATATTCCTTATGCCTTGATATTTCCCGCACAAGTCTAAACTCGATTTACTCGGGGGAAAAAATCGTTCACCACACATACCAACTAAGGTACCTTTTTAGTGTTCGAACGTTATACCTCAAATTGACCATTCACTACACGCTACCAACTAGGGTATCTATTTATGTTTGAATGTCACATCTCTAGGTGAACTGGATTTCAACCTAGGGTTTCCTCACATAATACTTCCATTAGACTCTATCCAACTAGGAACCTAGCATCTTAAGAGAAACCATCTTTTATCATTAACTCAATATAGAATGACACTCACACTACTTCCTATTAATCCACCCAAGGTGCGTCATACACAAGCAATAAGATTTATCACATTAATTGTAACCCAAGAGTTCATTTTTTTCAATTCCTTCAATGATATGTTGAGCCTTATTTCTCAACCATCAACATTCCCATGAATTTTCATTAACTTTTACTAGGTGAATTGTCAAGTGTTTTCAATCAAATTAGCTACATTCTACCACTTAGAATACAACAAGGGAATGCCTAACACCTGAACCAACTAGGATTTCAATACAGATTTAATTAACCCTCATTGATCAATAGGCACACATACATGTATGCGGCTCATTACTCCTTTACTCTACTCATTATTTGATTAAGATTGTGTCATCACCATTCTCTATTGGCGGATTCTAACACTAATTGCATTCATATGTGATAGCACATTCATTGTTATCGATGAAATATGGTCGAATATGGTATGCCAAGACTATCAAGTCATTATGGCTTACTCGGGTTACTTGGCATAGTTTGAAACGAGTGCAATTCACTCCCTACATAACCCAAAATAGAAGGGAACACAACTTACCCATGTCACACTACACAAACCTTGTTGCACCCAAAATACCCCCTCTTATTCGGAAATAGAGGGCAACACGACCTGGTCATGCAAGCCTGCACTTTCACGTCGGCCCTGTAACTAAGCATAATTTAACATGAGGTGGTTGTGCTAAGTTGTTCAATCGTGCCCCATCCATAAATAATGAAGTCTGGGAATTACCCACAGCCAGGTCATGGCTGAGGGTGAAAATTCGTGGGCAACTCTGAGCGATCCAAATTCATGCGTCAAACGTCATATTTCCAACAACCAAGATGAAATTCCACAATTGAGCATGGTTTGACATGAATCAAAGAATATATCATGGTATCTCATGCAAGAACACCGAGTTAAGCTTGCATTATACTTCAACATACAAAAATTATTATGAACTTGTTGTGATCACCGAGAATCATTTATGCCAAAACCCTAATCTCATGAGTTCAACACTAATCAAGCAGAAATAAATTTCAATAATACAAGTTCATCATATCATATGATCAACACTTTTCAATAACACACATTCTCATGAACCATACCAATTTGCAAGGATCATAAAAAGTTAACATAACCCTAACATGCATCACCTATAGCATTATAATTTCCTCAAATGCTACACTAGTCTAGGAACCCCACCTTTAAGATTGAGAACCTGAATTTCTATCCAAGAAAGGATGAAAATGAATGAACTTTAATTTCTTAACACTTTACTTGATTAATTTCCATAAGGATCGCACATGCAAGAGGTTGGATTGGACTTGATGAAGAATTTCTCCTCTTTTTCTTCCTTTGATCACCCCTTCCTCTACTCTCTTTCCTAATTTTGATTTTCATTCCTTTAGTGAGAGAACGTAAGAGTGAAAAATGAGAAACTTTATCTCATTTTAAGTTTATAAAGGGTGGATGCAAAAGGACGTAATTACTCTCGCTACTTAGTCATTTCATTAATAACTTGTCATTATCACCTCGTCATGCTTATAATTAAAAATTGAACCTTTTATCTCTTCCCCTCTTAAATCTTCTACTAATTACTCATTCATTTAAGAAGATAAAACATGATCAAGAGAAAAAATGTGATATTACACTAAGATAGACTATAGGTCAAGCCTAATACTTGTCTTTTATATTCAGATTAGACCAAAGTTTGACAATTTAACTCAATTTAACCTATTCTCTTCTCTAATCTTAAAAATCACTCTTGGCTATTCTTCTAGTTCTCATGTACTAATTAAACATATTAAAATGGCCATAATCAATTTTGCCCGCCATTTACAATTTTTTCAAAACATGATATGTGGTCATGGATTGGACAATTTCAGAGCTTAACCTATATGACTAAAATAGGTACTAGGTCTCTCTAGAGGTATTATTTTATCTTATGTGCCATTCTGTTGTCTATGTTTTGGGTCAACGAAGTACTACAATACCTACTTGATCAGGACTCATCAAGGTAACAATTCTGAATTATTTAACAATATTGAGTTGAACAAATCATGATGAGATGCTTCATTAATACTTTCTACCTACTATTTGGAAAAATTCAGGATTAAAATAGTAATAGTTAGGATGATATGTTGACATTATCAGTTTGGACACAACAAATCGAATGGAAAGTCTCTCTTTAATTATTTTAATATGTATAGATTGAAATGAAATAGAATTGACGAGAAATTTTGTTCTATTATTTGAATATTTAATAATAAAATATAATACATTTTTTAATTCCTTCTAATCGAATGAAAAGAAAACTGATTTTAAGTGATAAAATGAAAATACCTTATCTTATCGTATTTCATCGAGGAAAAATAAAAGTAAAAGAAGCAAATATGTTTTAATAAACTTAATTTTGAAGTATGAAATTGATTTGATTTAAAATAAGATGAAGGGAAACTTGTTATGGATTGAAAACTTAACACGAAAGTGAAACTTGACGAAAAGTTCGGTATTATGGTTTTAAATCGGGTTGCAGATGTAGGTGTGGTTGCAGGTGTTGTGATTGTGACTATTATGATTGTTGTGATACGTATTGCGGCCGTTGGAGCGTAAACTTTGAGTGAAAGATTTTTGAAATACAATGTTAAAAAACATTTAATATTAAGATTTTTTATTACATTGAAACTAAATTGAGGTTTTAGCTTATGAAAATTTTGAGATTTTATGAAAATACTTTTAAAAAAATATAGGTGAAATAGTCTAATGTGATTTCTAACCGGGTTAGAAAAATTAACTTGAATCACACTGCAATTATAATTTAATGTGGTTGAGGAGGCTAACACATCCGCAATATTATGGTCGCAATTAGAGTTCAATTAAAACCATGTCAAGTATATTTTATAAGATAAAGTTTAAAAATGTGATAATGAGAAATTGATATTTGATAAATTAACTTTATAAAATTGAGTTAGTTTCAAATCATATCATATCAAACACAAAAGTTAAATTTGATATGAAAGGATTATCTTAAAGCATAATCAAAATTACAAAACTAAATGCAAAATTAGCATAATTAAAATCCTGCATTTCACTAAAATTGCATTTGAATGGCAGTATCCTAACTAGTTCTTTACATTGCTTGATGCAGAAGAACATAAAATCTGAGTTGAGCCTAATTTGCAAAATCATAATCAATTGGACATGCTTTTCCTTTCCTACTTAATGGATCAAAATGAGAAACTCTCTATGCTCTATTTACATATAAAACGAACCTATGCTATACTTTAAGAATATAGAACACTTGATTTGAGATGAGTTTAATTCTGGTGCAGCATTTGTCCCGATATAGCTGCTGCAAGTGCTGCTCTAAACTTAACATCCTTGGTCAACGAAGAAGCCATTTGTTCCACCAAAATCTGAGGTATTTCCATTTTGGGAGTACTATTTATCGTCATATTCTTAGGAGAAAAATCATTGCTACACTTCGGCTTTTTGGTCCAGTCAAGTGTAACTGTACTTGGTGCAGCAGCAGAAGAAGGTGCTACTGATGAATTCATCTGATTCCTACAACGGTTGTTTGTCGGCTCGATCTGAGAAGGATGAGGATGGTTGTGCTCTCCTTCATATGTTGCAACTGTAACCGATGGATCATCGACGCTTCTTTGCACTTTCTTCTTCACTGTGCAGCTTGGAGCAAAAGAACATTTGAAATAGGCTCTTGGTGAAGGGTTATCTCTTGTCACCTTTTGTCCATATTTTCTCCATTGATATCCATCTTTCACGATCTGAAAATTCGTTATCGCAAAAAATGTCAAACAATCATTCACAAAAGTTTATATATATAGACGAGCGCCAAGTCTCACCAGGCGCTCGCGTAAACCATTAGGTCAAATGAATATGCAAATAATTTAATTAAGAGAATAATCTTACAAGGCTTGAATCAGAAGCTTCTGTCTTGAAATAAACTCTTGAAACTTTAGCCTTAATGCAAGTTTCTAATTCTCTTGGTTTCTTGCATGATGGATCTTCATCGCTTGAACTACTCTCAGAGTTGTTTCCATTAACTCCTATTAGATTGTTGTTACTAGTGCTTATTTCATCAGATTTTCTTTTCTTTGATGAACTTATAACCTCTTTAGTTTCAGGATTCTTCTTCATATATTCCATCATGTTGTTTCTTAATATGTTGTAATTCTCACACATCTCTGTCAACATTCCTGTTAACTTCTTGTTTTCAGCACTCACTCGCTTCAGCTCCTCCACCAAAGCACCACTTGACTGAAATATTATTCATGCAACTTTATTAATAAGTAAAAAAATCAATATAGATTTTTGCAAAGAAACACACAAGATTTGGCTCAACTAACTAACCTCTTCTTTTGGAGAAAAGTTCCTCATCCCTAATGAGAAAAAATCGTTTTCCATTCCATTTTTCTGAAAATATAACACAAGAAAATAATTATTAATTAATCAATGAGAATTTTATTTCACATATATAAATCAAGATCAAGTGATTTCATAGTTTTAAACTGCAGTCTGCAACTGCATCAGTAGTATTACGTATTATCATAGTTTTAAACTGCGGTCTGCTGCACCCGTCTACGATGCAATATTAAAGATAGTAGTGTAACTGTATGATATATATGTATATATACTTACCGGAGGTTCTAGATGAGGCCTTGGAGGGTTAATGTTGAGATCCAAGGAAGTGTTAATCCATGGTGAATAATCCATGCTTGTTTGATGAAAGATGAAAAAAGAAGAAGACTTTGATGAAGGGATTGGGAGAAGAATGGATGTGTTATATAATACAAGAGGCGGCCTGGAGAAGACTGGAGAAGACTTAGTAACAGACAGTTGGTGGTGAGAAGAAGAGAAGTTGAATAAGGAAGCTGTGTGGAAACAAGAAACTTTGGAAAAAGACACATGGAAATTATGTTTTGTCTTGCATATTATTATTATATCCTTATTATGTAGTGGCAGTGTTTGACTAGTGTTTTAGTCTAGACCAAAGACTAGATAAGAACAACGTGTTTTTAATTCTCATACTATTATATTTCACGTTACTTTGTCGTCTTCTAATTCATCTTCCAATATCTCTTACGATGGAATTTTTCTTTACGCCTCAAAATCACAATAACTAAGAAGCAATTTATAATACTAAGCTATGTAAACCTATCTATAATAATTAATCTTCAATAATAACCTTCACAATACGAGTCATATTTAATTATATTTTAAATAGTATTCATAACAAAAGAATATTTTTCACTTTCAAGTTTTTTTTCTTTTCTTTTGGAGTAATATATATTTGTAAGAGATACATCATATGTTCATCCAAAGTTTTAAAGTGATAGACGTATGTGTTATCCCATTTATAAATGTTCAATTCTTCATATTTTTAATTAATGTGAGATTTCTCCACACAACTCACACTTGTTATTCTCAACACTCACCCTCAAGTGTAAGTCTATCCACAATGTTCCCCTCAAGTGGAAGTTATTTCATCCACATACATTTGTATCGCCGTTTACACTATTCAACGTGACAGTCTACCTAGAATCATGTGGGAATACTTTTGATACAAGTGATTGGTCCCTTCCCTCGAAGCAAAGACTCGTGATACCATTATTGGATCATCAATTTGGGGGGACAAACATAAGGTAGCACTTTCTTTGGGGCTTTGCTTTAATAGTAGCACACCTTTGTGAAAGACATACCATATACTCACCCAAAATCTTAAAGTGATAGATATATGGATTCTCCCACTTATAAATGTTCAGGTCTCCACATTTCTAACCAACGTGGAATTTTCTCACACTATTTACACTTGTTATTCTCCACAAAAATGAGTTATATTTAACAATCTCCAGATTGAAAAATGTCAAATCCTATGAAGACTTTCTGCAAGAAGATCACATTCTGACAACTGGGAAGGTATTTCTTCTGCTTAACACTAAGAAACTTGTAACAAGTCCAAGTAATGCTTGAATTAGTCACTGACTTGGTCAACATATCTGCTACATTCTATAAAGTATAATTTTTTCAAGTAATATTTGTTCATATACAAGTAACTCTCCGATCTGTTTGTCAAATAAATAACATTTTGGCTATCATAATGCAATCGAACTCCACCTTGCACAACACCAAATTCTCTCACCAATCCCATAAGCAATAAGGCTTGTTTGACAACTTCACCTGCCAACATCGACTCTGCTTCAGCTGTCGAATGACCACTATGGATTGAAACAACGATTTCCAGCAAATAGGTCCTCTTGTTAAAGTAAATACTTAAGGTGCAGTAAACATCACAAATGGGGGGGGGGGGGGGGGGGGTTGAATTGGATTTCCAGCTTTATAACTTTTTGTTTCCCAAAACAAATGCAAGAACAACAACAATAATAATAAGAACGACCATAAAAGACATAAGCATTTTACCATGGTCCGTCGTTAACTAGGCTACCTCCAATCCACCTGTCATATGATTTGCCTTAGCCAAAGACTTAGTCCAATAATAAAATCATGATTACAAAGCAATGACAATTTGTTTCTTATTTCCCAAGAGCTTGACCTACCCGGTCGCTTGAGAAACCCCAACGATCATTGACTCATTAAGACCTGACCTACCGGATCACTTAAGAAAATTTATCAATTACTACTTGTCATTGAATTCTCAAGAGCCTGCCCAACTTGGTTGCTCGAGGAACATAACAAGACTAGGTGAACGCGATTTGTGTTTACAAGTGTGTTCCTTAGATAAGCTTATTACACAAGATGAAGTTCAGATGATTACATTTAAAAGATACATAATGAAAGTTCTAAGTGTTTATCTCTTCACTATGTTGTGGTGTTGTAGCTTCAGCGTCTGCTAATATTCACACAAATACACATGCATGCTTGCGTCCACATGCTTTCCCTTCCTTTCTACTTTTTTTCTCTCTTTTATGCTCGCTCTCTCTTCGACATCTTTCACCTTCCATATTCTTCAAAATATATAAGGGATGAATAAGTCTATTGGAGGATAGAACCATTTGAGGGTAGATAGGAATTGACATTTGAAATATCTGTTGTATGAAGTTGCTTCATGTGCAGCTGTTGAATGGTGCTTGCAACAGAGAGTTGTTTGATGATGGGACGTAAGAAATATTATTTACTTCAAAAGCAGATTTACTTTTTGAACTTCTGTCATATCAAACCGTAAAGATCTTCTAGTCAAAGTCTTCTTATACTAGTGGTTTGAAGCTTAAGTAGAGATTAGAATATGTCTTATAAGGAAATCTATTTTTGATTGTAGTTTCCTTGAGTATACTACTCTTCATAATCATGGGCTTCATATAATAGATGAAGTGAAACTCGATCAGAGTGTAAAGTGTAGATGATGTAGACTATAAAGTTATTTTAGAGAAGTTTGAAAGTACCATAATCTAGAGTGAATGTGAACAAGAAATACATAAGCATTTAATATTTTGTTCAGCTCATATGTGTTGATTGTAAGGGAATATTTCCTTTTCTTATTAACTTCTAGTCAAAGGCTTCTATATAACTTGGAAAGGCTTGAGCAAATTTTAAAACTTGTCTTTAGAACATTGAGAGACTTTAGAGTCCTCTGAGTAATTGGTTATGAGACTTGCGCATACTTGTAGTCAGAGCTTTGATAGAGTTTGTCTGGATGGCTTCTTTTTAGAAACATTGACTTTATAATATTGAAGCTTGACTTACTGAAAACACATATTTGTATTCTTCCTTTGTCCAACATGTGTTTTTCCTTTCTTCAATCTACTTTCTACTTTCTTCAGACTTCGTTTGCATTTCAGATTGATTTATTCAATGGCATAGTTATTTTCAGAGTCTGGCTTTTATAATTTGATGTCGTTCAGACTTTGCTTTGCATTAAAGTCTTCTTTCCATTTTCCTTTTCTATCTTCTGAGTTGACAATCATAGTTGACTTCTTTCAGAGTCTTTAACTGTCAGAGTTGTCTACAGATAAGAAATTGATGTTCCGCGATTAGAATCTGCTTTATTCAATGGTTGCTCTTTCCATTTAGATTTTTTTATCTTTATGTATCTGCATACTTACCAAATAGTTGGTGTAAAAAATTGTTCTTTTACACTTTAATATCATCAAAACATAAAGGTATGTAGATGTAGAACCAAACTTGTTCTTAAAAATACATAATATGTTGTAGACCTTCTATCATCCATATCACTAGGATTGTATGAATCAATATATCATGCAACTAAAGGATCACCATATTCACTACTAAACACGATACGCTGATATGTTGTACCCTTCAAGTACCTAAAAATCTACTTGGCTGCTTCCTAATGACGTTTTCGCGGTTTAGATATAAATTTATAAACTTGACTTGCAACTTGTGTCAAATATGGTCTAATGTAGACCATAACATACACTAAATAACCAATAATACTGACATAATGAGCTTTTGACATATACTCAGCTTCTGCATCTGTCTTTGGACACTTATCTAATGAGCTTACAATAATTCTCCAATAGAGTACTCATAACCTTCAAATTACTCACATCAAAATTGTATAACACCTTTTCAAAATAGCTTTTTCAGGAGCCATAATTTTCTAGCACTCTTATGCTTGTAAATTTTGATACTAAGAATTGTCTTGAAAACACTAAGTATTTCATGTCAAATACTTTTCCAACATGATTTTCAGTTCATTTACATCGTGTAAATGATATTAAGCAATCAATATATCATTAAACTATAGTAATAGGAAAATAAAATAGTCATCATCAAGGCTCCTAAAATAAACACAACAAATCATACTCACATATTTTATAGTTAATATAAAGCATGTATGAATCAAAGTGTTTGTACCATTACATTGGAGACTGTTTTAAACCATGCAAGACATATTCAATTTACAAACTAGTGTGTGATGTCTAGTGCCACTAAACCTCTATGCCTACTTCATATAAATTTGTTCATCTAGATTATTATGAAGAAATGTTATCTCACATCTGTCGCTCTAAATACATGTCTTAGATGTCTACCAAGGCTAACACAAACCTAATAGAAGTATTTTTGGCGAGCAGAGAGAATATCTCATCATAGACAATCCCTTTCTGCTATGAGTACCCTTTTGCTGCAATACGGGCCTTGAACCTTTCCCCTTCTTTTTTGGTTATTTCTTGATTTCTCTTAAACACTCACTTATAAGTGGTGTCCCTTTTCCCCTTAGGAATTTGAACAAGCTCTCATGTATGATTTTTCTTCAAGAACTACATATGCTTCATCATTATACTTATCCACTTATCTTTTTGTTGGATAGCTATAGTCTTTTGAAAGGTGGAAGGGTCTCCATAACTAGTAATAAATGGATAGGTTGTCAATTCTTCATGCCCATACCTTTCTAGTGGCTTGGTTAAATGGTGCTCTATTATATGTGGTGTTTACATCATGTTTTCATTCTATTTTTGTCATGTGATTTCCCCTTTTTCTTCTTTTATGCACTTTGGTGTGCTGTTTATGATTTAAGGTAATAAGGAATTCTTAGGGCCAAGTTGAAGTGAAAAGGATTGAAAAATGCACGAAAAAGGAGTCATATGGTACAAAATTCTTGTAGCATGCATAGTTGGTCATGCAGCCTTGCACGGGTCGTGTTGTCGTAGAAATAACTCCAGTACAAAAGATCAGAGGCCAACACAGTTGAGTCATGCAACCTTGCACGGGTCGTGTTGGCTTACACTACCACCTCA